ATAATTAAGGTGTTTATAATATAATAAGAATTTAAAAAAAATGTCTGCCTGTCTGTTTATTCCGGCTAATCTCCGAAACGGTCCAGCCAATTTTTTGGGACTTTCACTGGCAGATAGCTGATGTTAAAAGGAATAACTCAGGCTACTTATTTTAGCAAAAGAATCAGTTTCCCACAAAAAAAAATACGTACCTAGGACACACCCGAACGTAGCGGTACGTTACTAGTAGATAAATGAATTGTGCGACCGGAGTCAGTAAAGTTTGCGGAAAGCTAGTACATTAGACTAGGACTTTGCCATAGATTTCAAGTCGAGTACCTAAATAAGTTAATGGAAACTTTAGCCGTACTTAGATTTCCAGTGATACGATTCAGCGTTGTTCGAGCAGTAGACCCAGTTTGGTAAATTGAGCGTAAAAACTCTGTCGGTGGATGCCTTGAAAATTATTGAGACATCCGTCTCTTATTGTTCATTGATGTAAATATTTCTAATTTATTGTTTATTCGTGTAGATAATTTCAAAAATTATTACAATTAATTACGATGAATGCCTCACGGGCTTAGAAAATTGCTGATTCAAAATGCTAAAATTGATATACAATCTTACTTTGTTAGTTAATTACGCCAGAATATCTGAACTAAGGTAACGCAGGTTGATTTGGTCTGTACAAAATAGTATTTAAAATCTAGTGGTAATAGTTACTTAGCTACATTGGTCTCAGTCAGAAGACCTTCTCTGCTATTAGATTATTTATACAACCATTATTTATTTTGTTAGTTTATCCAATTGAAAACTAGTCTTTAATGAAGTTAACAGAACCGTTAGAATATTAACTAATTTTATTAACCGACAGTGGCACTACAAAATAATGTGTTAAACTTGGGTAATAAGTATAATAATTCGCACATTAGGTATACTTCTCGTCTGTTTGTTTATTGTACATATATATATATATATATATATATATATATATATATATACTATATACTATATACCTCAAAAACTACATACTGTTTCATTCCACGTAATAAGTTCACAAAAATCTAATAATATTTAGAGGATCCTCCATCCTCTTTACTAATGTGACCACGGAGGCCACTCTTATTTTTTTCGCTTAATGAGATATAATAGTGCACAAGAATACATACGTGCTATGCTTTCATTTAGTATACTTTCACTTTCAATATCCTATCAGACGACAACTCACCGCGACCGTTGAGAGACCAGGCACAGGACCGAAAGCTTGACACGAGGATGAACCACTGTCAATTTCCCAACTCTGGACTATTACTGAAAATTTCTGGTCTGTAAAATCTAATAACTACACCTGATTCGATCTGTGACTCGGGTCTAGAAACACAACGTCTACGATTCTGCGGCCGTCCATCCTAGCCAGGAAAAATGTAATAAAAACACTAAAGAATGTCACGTAAATACTTAAGTATCAAATAAATTTGTAGGCGACCTTGGCTCGAACGATCGGGCCAAAATGATCACCATCTGATTTCTTGCTTCACTGAACCTATGCCTTTATTGGCAATCCTTGAGTTTCAAACAATTCAATGACAATAAAACTTCTTCAAATTGATAGTATTAATCCCTACCCAATAATGTATAAGACCAAAGGAATATTTTACTTAAAATTTTTGGGTATGACCGCAGTGGCGCAGTGGTTATGTGACTGGCACTAGCATTCTATTGGTGATTATGAATACTTATCCTGAATGAGGTAAAAAATGTTATATCACATTGGTAAAAAGGGTGTGGTTAAGACATTGGGCTGCAAAAGTCATGCTATATTAGTACACACCATGCCTTATAACAATTTAAAATACAATTTTTGCTTACGCAATCGTTTTTTATATATTACGCAAAAGGTATAACAAAAAAATTATGACCAGGATGTAGGTTAGCTAAGATAGATAAAACTTTACAGAAAAAACATCTTTATAATATATACCTCAATAATTTAAAACACCGTAATTGTACTGAATTGTTTTAGTAGGAATTATCTCGAAAGTCTAATGGAACATGTATTGTGAGGATGGTGGAACAATAATATAAAGATAACGCTAAAAATAATTTTATATTAAACTAGCAACATACCCTCGCTTTGCTCTGATGCGTCCTTCAGCTTGGATATCTTAGGAACGCACAAAAGAAAAAATAATTTGAAAAAATAAATTGGTGTAATCACCAAGAACCTTTGTGGACGTATACACAATAACGCACCAGAGTTTCATTACAATCGGATCAATGGTTAAGGAATGCAACCAGACCAAATATATAAACATTCATTTTATTCATACACTAGTCTATCTTTCCCTCGGGAACTGTACATTTTCGGGATAAACAGTAGCTTATGTGTTATTCCAGACTATAATCTATATTTGCGCCAAATTTCATCCATATCCGTTCAGCCGTTCTGAAAGAGTAACAAACATTCATACTGACAAACTTTCACATTTATAATATTAGTATAAATTCTAATATATAAAGGGTTTGTTTTTTCGCTTGATTAATATGCTAAAGTTTGGAACTACCAGTTCGATTACCAAAATTGTTATTGTATTTTATGGCCTGTGTTTATTGAGAAAAGCTATATTATAATATCACGTTGTAACCAAGATGAGCAGAGTAATAATATTATATAAAAAATGATGATGTTCTCCTGACCGATTCCGGCCACGGCGGCCAATATCATTGAGACTCGCCAACTGCGCAGGAGATATTATAGTGCACAAGTGTACGCGCAGACACAACGTGCAGTCTCTATTCCTGTCACTCTCATACTCTGGTGGGACTACCGCTCGACATGACCAGTGAGTGTTAAGGCGCAGGACCGACGGCTTTTACGTGCTCTCCGAGGCACGGGGGTGAAACACCGCCAACTTCCCAACTCCGGGCTGAGGATTACTATACAGAAAGACTCAATAACTAAACTTGGTCCGACCCGGGACTCGAACCCAGGACCTCCGGGTGTGCAGCCGTACATGCTAGCCACTACACCACCGAGGCAGTTAAATATAAATAAACTATGTTAGAGGAGCTGCAGGAAAACCTTAGTATACAATAAACTAGAGAAATTCCGCGCTTCCGCCCGCCTAGTCCAATACATATGTATTGTATTATCTTTATAAATTATAGCCTATGTGTTACTCTGATATATCTCTCTATATTACTAGCTAAAGTTTCATCAAAATCTTTCAGTAGTGAAAGAGTAACAAACAGACGTCCACACGTTCATACTTCGATACATCCATAGACCCTCACAAACTTTTGCATCTGTAAGATTAGGATATAACAGTGTATGAAAAAATTTAAAACATATATTTGTGATTTGAAATCGTTTAAAAATATACTACAGACTAATTTTTGAAGTGAAAACTTCTATAGGCAGGTGTCGATGGGGAGTAAATTCATGTAAATCGTCATCGACATGGTCACGTGACGTGTTAACGCTAACACTCAGAATGCCGATAGATGTCAAAACCAAATAAATTTAAACAGTTTTAATTTACAAATTTTAATTTAAGATCAAAAAATCATATTGAATATCCAAAAATAACTATTTGTTTATAGTTTTAAGTTTTCACTTCTGTCGGAAGTCCTCATGATGCTTTTTTTTTCTAAGAAAAATGTCGCGTATTAGAAAGATAAGGTAGGTATCTGCAAAAATTTCTTTTGTACACAGGAAAGTTAAATACATAAATGACTGAGAATATAATGTACATATAATTGGCTACTGTATATAATTTGTATGCATTTAATGATAGTTATGTTTGAATTAGATAGTAATTATATCACAGTGTTATTCCGTACGCCAAAGATTAACTAAAATTTAGATGTGTCATTTCATTTTGCAACTAGTGTTGCCTACGTGCATGTTTACTTTCTTTGAGTGTTTGACACAAGTATTGACGTGTATGAAAGTGATGCTATCTAAATATATAACTAACGTTTAAATTAACTGCCTCGGTGGTGTAGTGGCATGGTAGCTTGTACGGCTGCACACTCGGAGGTCCTGGGTTCGAGTCCCGGGTCGGGCCAAGTTTAGTTATTGAGTCTTTCTGTATAGTAAGTCTCAGTAATAGCCCGGATTTGGGAAGTTGGCGGTGTTTCACCCCCGTGCCTCGGAGAGCACGTAAAGCCGTCGGTCCTGTGCCTTAACTCTCACTGGTCGTGTCGAGCAGTCGTCCGACCGGAGTATGAGAGTGACAGGAATAGAGAGTGCACGTTGTGTTTGCGCGTACACTTGTGCACTGTAATATCTCCTGCGCAATTGGCTAGTCTCAATGAGATTGGCCGCCGTGGGTGGCATCGACTAGGAGAACATCATCATCATCATCATATAACTAAAAAGTTGGAGCGAAATTTCAGCCACAAAAGTTATGATTACAGAATGTTACTATTTGCTTTATAAATGATATTCTAATAAAAAAATCTTGGAAATTCGTTCAGATACCCACTCAATTCACTAGTATAATGAATGACATTTTAACCCCCAACGAAAAAAACTGGGATGTAATAAGTTGAACGTCAGTATCGGTCTGTGTGTCTGTATGTTTGTGGTTTAGCAGTTATTGTACGTATCGATTTGGACTCATTATTTTATCAGAAAACTTATTATTTAGGAGAGTTTAAACTTCCTTCGTTTTACGACATTCGTTGGCGTTCTATAGACAACAAACAAACTATCATAACATATATTCTTTTAACTTCTAAAGAGATCCTTTTATATGTTAGGGGTTGTATAAATTTTTTATTTCAATTAAACAAGAAATTTAAAATCTTTTGAAAAGAAATTTGAATTCTTTTGAAATCTCTGAAAATCGTGACAGCTTTATTAGTGACATTGTCACTTCTGTTTTTTTTGTCTTGATAAATACTTATAAGGTAAAAATAAATTACTTTTAATAAATTATAAGTAAGAGCTCACCACCTGCGAGTATGTGGTGTCGTCTTTTGTACAAGTCAGAAATTAAAAAAATATTGCTAAAATGGCGGATAGCGAATACAAAAAAGTTCCAATCGTAGAAAACGGCAAAGATCAGGGTAAGTTGTGATCTAAAGTACTGCATCAAAATTTTATTATAATAACAACTACTTTAGAGTTAGGTGCCTAACATTCAAGTTTAGTTTAGTAGCCTTTACGCTACTGCAACTTATGGTCTATATAAGTACTAAAGTTTATCAAAATCTGTCCAGCCGTTTAGGGTCTAGGAGTGAAAAACATACATATACATATGCACATATCAACATTTGCATTTGTATTAGTAGTCCAATAACTTGCCTTCATCTATGTAGTGGCGCTCTAGTAACTAGCCTTTAAAGTTCCGGGAAGTCTTCCTGGATTTTTTATCGCTGGATTATTGTTAGGATTAAAAGTAAATATTTGCGAATGCTGTAATAAGTGAAGGAACATGTGTGCGTGTGCGTGTATGTAGGTGTGGGTGGAAAGGGGGATTGGGTTTACTCAAACATTGTTAGCTTAACTTTTAAATACTTGTTTATAAAGTATTGCACACTAAGCTGTTGATGTAATTTTCTACACTTTAAATAAAACTATCTTTTCGGATTTTTTCGCGAATTTATTTTGATTTTTGGTTCCCGACGATTTGGGTTTTTCTACACATTTATTTTTGTCATCTGATTGCTGATTTTCTAGAATTGCTACCAATTTTTCCATACAGCCCAGTTGGTTATGTGGAGTGGAGCTTATCTTTGAATGTATCCTTTTGTCTTTCAATGCACTACTTCTGATTATTAATACTTAAAAATATAATTAACTGTTTGTAGATAATAATTTTACATCATTGGTGTTTTCTTTTTGTCTAATATTAATTATGGAAAAAAGACAGATTTCCTAATTACAAGTATGTTTTAGGATGAACGGGATAAATATTTGTATAGACAAAAAGGGTTTTCTTGCAGATCTATCCGCGTGTTTCAATTATGTATTACTATATATGTATAATTTATAAATTAACTTATACCTATGTGATACCTTAAGGTGTAAGCTATATTATTGTAAAGTTTTAGTAAAATCGGTTTAGAAGTTGCGTGAAACAGTAGGAGACAAATTTCCTCACAAGTTTTCATGTTTATTATACTGGCAGGATATGTTACGCATTCAAAGGTTAGTTCAAATTCACGATCTTCAACTTAGGAAGAAGTCAGTCTGAAAGGACTCTACTGAAAACGATCAGATTATTATAACGAATACACTGATCAAAAAAAATGTACTAGATACACAATCAGCGGGAAAAAATGCCCTCTCCGAATAAGCGCTCATTTGAATATTTGCGCTTTTTTTATTTTTTGTGAAAATAACTTTAAGCATTGCATTTAAGGTTCAATTTACATTGTTGTCTATTTATTTCAACTAGAATGATTGCCTAAACACAGTTGGTGATAGTTTTTCACGAACTTTTGCATGGGATTGTGGATCTAGTGCTCTTTTCATTGATGAACGAATAGAACTTAGAGTTAATCGCAAAAGTCTAACTTGATACTAACATGAGAATTGATAATAATAGAGTATTCTACTGAATTAATGCACAAAAGCACTAAATTGAGACTCAGGGAAAATGTCATTAAGTAATTTACGTCTGAACTGCTTTACATAGTAAAACGTCTTCCATAGTTCTGTCTGCAGTAATCAAACTTAATGTAGAAAGCTGAGTATCTTAATGCTATATTTTTTGTGGATGGTGCTTTGTTAACTAATTTCACTTTAATTAGAGAAAAATAGATAAAGTTTTTTTAATATAATACTTTTATAATACTTTCTTAGGTATCCCAGTGGTAACGCGCTTGCTTGGGAAACCGAGTGTTCAAATACCGGGTCTCGCACCTCTAATATTTTCATGTGCGAATCATTTCCAACATGATTACCACTTGTTTTAACGGTGAAGGAAAACATCGTGAGGATGAGGATACCACCATATCCTAGCAAGTTTTCAAAAGAAATGTGAAGTTCGCCAACCCGCACTTGACCAGCGTGGTGGACTATGGCCTAATCCCCCTTGTCCCGTGCCCAGCAGTGCGACATTATAAATGGCTTCAATACTTTCTTAGATTTACGTGAATATTTGACATTTTAAATAAAACTACCTTTTCGGATTATTTCGCAGATTTATTTTGATGTTTGGTTCGAATGCTTTACACTTTACAGCAATCATGGCCACGGGAGAGACTAAGGTTATAGATGTCTCAAAGGCGTTATATACTTGTTACAGACAGTATAAATCCGCAAGACAATTTATTAAAAATTATTTTTTATAGTATTTATAATATTTATCAACTTTATTTTACAAATAAATTATACTTCTAGATAAAAATGTACATAATAATTCACTATATACATTTGTCAATAACGACTTAGCCTCGCATCGCTGTAGTGCCTCCCTTGGTGCTTAACAGTACCTATGTGTTCGTCCAGATCATAGTCTTCCTGTGTTCTAAATTTCAGCCGTTTCAACGTAAAATAGTAACAAACATACACACTAAAACACGCACGGACAAAAAAATCCATAACTAGTTAATAAGAGCTAGATATATTTGTGTGCTTTTTTAATGTATTTATGTATTGCAGATTTAGACGAAGAATTCACCACATATGGTTATGGTGTGCGACATATACAGGCCGTACTGGTTTTCCTTTGCCTGACCTTGGGCTATGCCACTCGAGCTCATTTAGGAGTCACCATCGTTGCTATGACAAAAGTTAACAGTGAGCAGACTAATACAGAACATTCTTCATTATATGAAAGTACAACGCTTACAAATTTGGTTAGCTCTGAAAGTTTTCAGAATTTTACTTCAAGTAATGATGAAAATTCTACAATAATTTATGAAACAGTTACTAGCAGCGTTCATACTGTAAGTTCAAAATATTTTTATGAATATATTTATATGAGTCGCTAGAAATACATAATCATAGAAATAACAACAGAAAATGTGATTGCTGTTCCTTTACTTAAGCAATAAAAAATATTTTTTAATGAAATTTAGCTCAATTGTAGCTTAGATATTGACTAATAAATACAAGAAAATATCAGGGGTCTAATAACAAAGGCGTCAAAGTCCCATATAATTCAAACATCGATTATTCGATTAGGTCCATCGTGCTATTTAAGTTTCTTAGTTACCTGACTTGTTTTAGCATTAAAATACAGCTTATAAAACAAAAGGTATCAAATTCATACTTATATAAATAAATTGTAACAGTAAATATGCAATATATTTTAAATGTTATTAGTTTTTTGTAAATGACTTTAACTGGACATTGCTGCCTTTGTTATTAGACACCTGTTATAGAAGTCAAGTGAAATACTCGTAGAGACCACTTTACAAATGACATTGTCAAGAATGCTAAACTGATTTTTCAGTATACTAATTCATTTTCAAAAATCAAGAATAACATATAAATATATATATTTATACAACAATTTAAAGCAAGAACAAATTTACATTTAAGAAAGATGAAACACAGGTTCCCTGGCAATAAGTACGAATTGTATTATTCGACGACACGTTTGGCTCAGTTGGTAGTAACCTTACTTGCTGTGCCAGCGGTCGCGAGTTCGAGTCCCGCTGGGGGCATTCGTTTGTGTGATGAGCACTAATGTTTGTACTCTAGTCATGGGTGTTTATATTTATAATATGTATGTATTTAAAGTTATGTATGTGCAGTGTATCAACTATCTGGTATCCATAACACAAGCCTCGTAGCTTACCATGGAACTAGATGGCGCTGTGTGTTAATGTCCCAACATTTATTATTTTTATTATTATACTGATAATTGTATTTTTCTTTTTTACAGACTTTCGATTGGCCTAAATCTGTTCAAGAAATAGTTCTTGGGGGCTTTTTCCTCGGGTATAGTGTCATGATGTTCCCTATGGGTATCGTAAGTCAACGATGGGGAGGAAAAATACCCCTACAAGTAGCTATGGCTTTAAATGCTATACTATCTTTTTTTTCTCCATGGCTTATTGCTTGGGTAATTATTACTCCTATATTATACTAATTTAACTGACTTATTGGTGTAGAAGCTAAGATGGACGGCTGCAGATCCCTAGGCACTATTTTGTTTAGCATAATACATTATATATATATATTTGAATTCTGTAAGTTAATTCAATTATTTAATTTGTTTTAACGACAGGGTGATTGGAAAGTGTTATGCGCTATACGAGTGATCCAAGGGTTTTCCCAAGCTGGTTTATATCCAAGCATTATGAGATTTGTAGCTAATTGGATACCTCTAAGTGAACGAGCCAGCCTCTCTGCCTATATTTACACAGGTAAACCGTACCATTTTTTTTAACAATGTGGGCTAAAGACCTGGGTAATTAGTGAACTTAAAATATTAACGTAAAAAGTAAACAAATAAAATATTTAACAATTTAACTAAAATACAGTCTGATAACTTCTTTCTTACTTGCCATGTCTCATGCAAATAATATCTTTTTATGAAGCTAATCTCCGTCGTGTCTTCTCCAGTCTACGTGATATTGGTGAAGTAACTTGTGCTCAACTGGGAGGATTTGGAGCTATTAAATAGAGAATTGCATTGAAAGAATATTATAACTAAAATTAAACATAAGAGATCCTTTTTGCTCTATTTCCCAGAGCTGGCTGAACGATGTTCTGTGTTTATTTAAACATATAGCGTTATAATACAATATGATAATTATCTCCATCCTGCGCACAACTTAATTTACTTTAATGATCCACATTTTTAACTTTGTATACTTTACTTACTTATTTTTCTTTTTTCTTCATCAGGATCATTATTTGGCACAGTAGTGGCATTCCAATTAGCAGGTATCCTCGCTTTTAGTCAATTTGGGTGGCCTTCAACATTCTGGGCGCTGGGTATTGGGTGCTTCATAGTATTCGTTTTAATCACTGTCTTTGGAGCCACCACGCCTCTCGAGCATAAATTTATTTCTGAAGCAGAAAAGAAGTTTATTATGGGAAAACTTAAAAATGACTGTGAAAATGTTAGTATTTTTTTAATTAAGTACTCTTTTTATATAGAAAACACAAGTGATATGACGTCTAAATGACATTGCTGATGGGAGTTTTTTTTTCAGCCGATATTTTTTTATATAAATATATTGTGGTCATTTTGGTGAAATAAAATTTTAAAACACACGATTTTTTTATGCATTTCAACTCGGGTTCAACGCATGTTTGACGCATCGTGAAGACACTATCGACGTTTGCATGTCGCGCGTTTGTAGATACGAACGCAAGCAATCAGCTTTTTTTCCAATTTATCAGCGCAAAATGCTCGCAGGTCCATGATGCTAAGCTTTCATCTAACAGTAGCCTGAATAAACACTTTATTATATTTTATTTCCAGAAAGGTAAAATACCATGGAAGTCGATATTTACATCAGTACCAGCTTGGGCAACTTTTAGCACTCATATAGGTAGCGCAACGTGCTTCACATTTATGTTTGTACAAGTTCCTACTTATATGAGTTCTATATTAAAACTCAATATTAGAAATGTAAGTAAAATTTAGATTTTCTTCATATTCCTGCATCGATCAAAAAAGTACTAGATACACAATGCCATGTAAAAGTTTTCTTAAAACTGTCACCAGCTGTGTTTCGGTAATTATTCTAGTTGAAATAAATATACAAGAATCTAAATTGAACCTTAAATGTAATGCTTAAAGTTCTTTTCACATCAGCTGTTCGCTCAAATCAGCTCAAATGTTCAAATCAGCGCTCATTCGGTTAGAACATTTTTTGTCGCTTATTGTGATCTAGTACTTTTTTGATCGAAAATTACTAATAAGATTTTTCCTATTAATAATATTTTAAAAATAGTAGGTAAATTAAATTAGTTTATCACTCAAAATTGTATTACATGACCTATTTTTTTTCAAACTACTAATATGCCTTGAAAACCACTTCATATAGAGAGATTAAAAGAACCGGTCTCAATGTATTTTTTTGCATACAAATATCATTACTTGGATTTTCGTATTTATGTCCTTAGATTTTTTTGAAATAATGATCAATACTAGTGATCGCTCTGTGGTTGAAAATCAATCATAATTCATTCAGTTTGATCGATATGGAGGTCCTTTATTCAAAGGTATATACATAGCCTATAAAAACAAAAGAGTTATATGCGTGTGTGTGTCAAATACATGGTAGTGTGTGTAATGTTTATTTATTGATTTATATACTTAATTTAAAAAAAATAGCATTCTGTACTCTTCTATATAAACCATAAGTGTGGGAAATTTCATACTCCTCCGTCCGCGCAAATTTCGGAAAAAATACTCGTACAAGTAATAAAATAATCCCATCAAAAACATTCTGTAAAAATATTGCAAGTCTCGCAACGCATTTCTTCTACCGCAAAAAGCTATGAGATATAATGTAAAACCAAGTCGGTTAATTTATTCATTACCTATCTATGGAAGCATCTATCCGACAACTTTGTCATAAATCGTTACCGAATTAGTTAAGTTACAACATTTTATAGTGACCGTAATAATATTAGATATATTTATTTCTTTAATTAATAGAATGACTTGGCCATCGCACGGAAACATAATCACATAATAATTAATTAATAATAATTTATTTATTATAACACAACAACAATAAAAACTATAAATTAGATAACAATATACATTTACATTTGAAATAAAAATTAACATATAATTAATTGATTAATTTAAAATTTATTTATTTATTTATTTCAAATCTAATCAAAATTTCAAATTTTGTGGTTGAGATCCCCTTTTAAGCAAATAATTTGCCTGTAAATAATTTGACATAAGAGTCTACTACTTTAATTAAATAGTCCTAATTAAACATACCATGACCAAGGTGGACGGACGAGTTGGTCAAAGTCGCTGGAGCCCACTGGATGCGGATGGCACAAGAATGGTTGTCGTGGAAATTTTTGGGGGAGGCCTATGTCCAGCTGTGGACGTGTTTGGGCTGAGATGAACTGAACATAGCACTAGCGGGTCAAATTTATGCATGCACTAACATAAATAATGTACTCAGAACGCTAGTATGAGGTAAATTTTGTTATTTGTAGGTTCTATTATCATGTGCGATGGCCAAGTCATTCTATTAATTAAAGAAATAAATATATCTAATATTATTACGGTCACTATAAAATGTTGTAACTTAACTAATTCGGTAACGATTTATGACAAAGTTGTCGGATAGATGCTTCCATAGATAGGTAATGAATAAATTAACCGACTTGGTTTTACATTATATCTCATAGCTTTTTGCGGTAGAAGAAATGCGTTGCGAGACTTGCAATATTTTTACAGAATGTTTTTGATGGGATCTCATTTCTTTTTGTAAATATTTCTTCTTTTTCTCTTTTCTTGTACTATTTCTTGTGTGTCAGCTAAGGAATTTTTTAAACGCCCACTCCTTGTCTCTGTGGGCTTTTTTCAGAGGCTTTGATATAACAAATTTTGACAAGTCTGGATGATAAAATATCTAAGTCTATTGTATTGGGAAATTGCGGATTCCTAGACTTTAATACTACTATCTTATGCATTAAGTATAAATATGTATAGTTAATTTAACGAATATTTTAATTTAATTGTTGACCCTAACTAAATACCTACCCCGATACTGATATTCAACTTACATAAGTTTAATAAGACGTAAATCGTACGTTAATCGTAGTTAAGTCCCGAAAGTTGTATTCCATTCCATTTTAAAAGTAATTTTCGAAGAGATTGATATTTCATGACCTCTATATTCCATGTTTTAATACGTGGGTACAGTTACGAGCAATGTTGACAAGGTTTTCTAAATCATATCAACATCATACTTTGTAAAAGAAAATGTACGAGCTTTGTTTCAAAATTAAGTAATTGTCTAGTTGTTTCTTAATTAAGTATATATTTTAATAAATTAATTATAAATAACAGTAATCGAATATTAGTAGGTATAAACTATACACGCTTCACATTACATTTATGTACCCATTTGTATATGCATAAAAATGTATACAGCTACTAAAAAAGCTGAAAATATTATTTTCGCATTTAAAAAATACTTTTCTAATACTTATAGTTGCAAATATAAACATTAATAAATACACGAATCGAAATTAGGTTAGTAATTACGGGGGAACATAGGATCGGACATACAAACCTACAGGTAAAACATTAACCTAACTTCCTTTTACAGTGCAACTATTGTATAATTAATTAATTTACTATCTTTTTATATATAATTCTTCTGTGAGTGTGTATGTCACTGAACTTCTCTCAAACGACTGGACCGATTTTGATGAAATTTTTTGTGTGTGTTCAAGGGGATCTGGGAATGGTTTAGATTCACAATTGTACACGGTAGGTGGCGCTGCTGTCGGTGTGACAAAGGGTTTGTTTTTTTTAGTAGTTTGATCGCGGGCGAAGCCGCGGGTACAGCTAGTTAATTATAAATTATATTAGAATATATGAATGAGGTGAAAAAAATAAAAGTAAGATATCGGGTATTAAAAAAATAATATTTAATTTAAATAATAGAAGGAAAAAATAGTGTAAATTTAATTAAAATATTTTAGTTTAGGTGACGAAAAATGATATGTATGAACTGCAAAAATAACTTTGTAATCCCATATATCGGATATCTATTTGTATAGGATTACAAAGTTACTTATGCAGTTTGTATATCTCGAAAACAGCATTGAAATTTCGTGATGTTTGAGTTTTTCCTTCTGTTATAGGCTAAACACTAATTGTGTTCAAAATTTGAAGCTCCTATGTCTGCTAGAAGTACCTTAGAATTTTGATGATCGGTGAGTGAGTGAGTGAGTGTGTGAGTGACGATATTAACGAATTTTGATCTGCAACAGTTCTTAAACTACAGGTTCAAATTGAATGTAATTTGGAAATATGCCTAGTTTTATTATGTTCTTTTAGTCCCTGAAAATTCAGGCTTCTAGCTTTATCCATAACGAAGTTATGGGGGGGTGGAAAATGCTCTGAATCGCTTCGAGAAAAGGATGGTACTGTCGTGCCCTTTTTTGCTCGACTTGGCGGGGGCACTCCGTGCCCCCCGATAATATTCAAAATATTACTAATAGAGTATATTTTATTACAGAGCGGCATATTGTCGTCCCTGCCATACATAGCAGCATTCTCTACATCGATAGCTTTCGGTTTTTTCTCTGACTTCTTCACTAACAGAAAAATGATTAGTGTGAAGAATGCTAGAAGAATATCAAATTCAATTTGTGAGTACCCAATTCTTATTTATTTACATTCTTTTGTTTACAAATATATATTTTTAAGCACGCTTTAAGGTTTTAGCGATTGAATTGTTTTAAAATTTTGGCTAGTTTAACCTATACAACCTAACCTACACAACAAACATTCAGGCAATGTAGAGGATTTGTAATGTCTGAAGCAGAATTCGTCTTTTTTTCTTCAAATCATCAATAATTTCCGTGTTTTTTCCAGCATGTTGTGGACCAGCCCTGTGCCTTGCGTTGGTCTCCTATACCACTAACACTGCTGTGGCTGTAGTGTGTTTTATTGTGTCCATGGCTGCAAATGCTGCATTACATACTGGTTGGATGGTCAGTAATACTTTATAATTATGTCCACCTTCTTAATTCGGGCCACGGCGGCCAATCTCAGACTAGCCAACGCGCAGACATAAGTACACTCTCTATTTCTTTTCTCTCTCAGTCTGATGGGACCATACTTAGACACGACCGGTGAAAGTTAAAGTGCAGGCCCGACCCAATACGAGCTCTCCAAGGCATGGGGGTGAAATACCACCAACTTCCCAACTTCGGGCAGTTACTGGCACTTTCTTTACAGAAAGACTTAAGAACCAAATTTTACCCAAGCCTGGATTCAAACCCAGGACCTCCGGACCTTCGGCTGTACATGCTAGCCACTAAACCACCGAGGCAGTTAATACTTAATAATATTTAGAGACTAAATATGTAAATTCAAACTCAAAAATAATAATTATTGTACATTAAATTATAATTTATTTTTTTACTGTCTATCTCAAGTCTGTCACTAGTTTTGAAAAAAAAGAACGGTCAAGTGCGAGTCGGACTCGCCCACCGTGGGTTCCGTACAAATATCTGTTTAGCTTCAATTTTCAACTTGCAACATGGAAATCTGCTTAGCTTCAATTTTCAACTTTTTTTATTTTTTGGAATATTTCTTTTATTTGTGTGGTAAGACCTTGCTTTTTGCCAAATTTTGTGATTCTACCTAGAATCACGAAATTTGGCAAAAAGACCTCAACCTCCTCAACCTTGACCTCAACGGGAAATACCATATAGGTTTTCGACCCAAAATCTATTAGGTACTTCCGGTTGACCTAGAATTGTCAATTTTGGTTAAAAGCAAGTAAAGAGAAAATTCCGAAAAATAAAAAAAATAGTAATTTGGTATTTTAAATAAAACTATCTTTTCGGATTACTTCGCAGATTTATTTTGATTTTTGGTTCCCGACGTTTCGAATGCTTTACAGCAATCATGGTCACGGGAGAGACTGAGGTGTTAGATGTCTCGAAGGTATAGTTGTTACAGACAGTCTACCCACAAATAACAAAATGAAAAATTGCACCAAGTACCTTACAATATTTTATAACTTTAAACATTTTTATAATTTTAATTAGTTTTATAATTGAATATGGAATATTCCATATTCAATTGGTATATTAGTAAAATTTTACTAACTAAAAAATATTTACTTAAATCTTCTTATTTTGCAGGTAAACTATGTGGATTTGTCGCCTAATTATGGCGGCGCGCTTATGGCGACAGGGAATACCCTATCCGGCTTATTTTTTGTATTCTTACCCGTAGTGGTCTCAAACATTGTTACTGATGTGGTAAGTTACTTATTATATCCTTTTATATAGGTAGCTCATAAGAGGATAAACTAGTTCCGAATAGTGGTTTTGATAAAAATTATCAGTAAAATAAAGGCTAATTTTTACTTTACTATTTACTATAGGTACCATTTTCTTAATATACAATTAAAACAATGTCTTCGTTACAGCCCATTCGTAATTTTTAATTTTATATGCGAAATATATGCATTATCGGCTTGCCTAATATTTTATTCTAAATAATACTATATTGTCAGTACCGTTTTTCTTTAAGGACTACTTACTATCTGACGAAAATTAAATTTCTAATATTATAATAAAAGCTTACACAGGCGGCTCTCCCCGTATGTAACGTCCACAAAAATAGCCCATAGGTTTCAGAGATTAGCGTGCACCAACAAACAGACAGTATTCATAATCAAATATATGCAATGCATGAACGAATTAACCACTGGACCAGACATATAAGCGGACGTACCTTTAACGGTCATGTCAGTAACCAGGGAATTTTAGCCTAGGTCGTTTGTTTCTTGTGTCAGTCGCAAGCACTTACTTGTCAACAAAACATCTCCCGAAAATGACTAAATGTTCTGTTAAATGGTGTAAAAACTATAACGGCGGAAGCAGCACTATTTCTTTTCACTTGTAAATACATTATTTTATTACATTGATTGTTATTTATCACAAAATTTAATTAAATGTAAAATAAAATGTCATATTATCCAACTATGTTAAATATAGTCATAGACATCTGACAACCATCATAAAATCCCTGGATTATACCATTCAGAACAAATGACTACACTGTCGAGGGAGTCCATTTGACATCGACTAGTGCTTGACAATGTCGAAAAATATATCGATATTTGACGAAATAACTGAACGAATTGTGTTATTTGTACAGTACAATAACATAAAATACTTTTATCACAGTATCCTACAATCTGATGACAATAAATTTATAAAAATATTTTCTAAATCAAATAAAAATATAAATGCAAAAATTATAATTAGTATGTGTACTTAATTTTTTTTTTATTTTATACCACATTTATATACTTTGGAATATGTTTCCATTGTAATAATAATAAAGATCATTTTATTTCAACACATAAATTACACAAAATCAAAAAATAATGTTTTAGCACTAAACTTCTGGGTTGGCGATTTGTAATAAAACACTTTACCACTTGCACTAATTATTTTACTTTCACGATCCAACACTCACTTTTTCACAATTTGCAATCACTTTTTCTTTTTCCTAATTTCACAAATGTTTATTAATAACTGAGCAATAGTAGGACAGTGTCACATTTTTATAACTACCCGAGACAATCAATTGCCAATTAAAATATTTCATTAACAGAATCAACAAAATCACTTTATTAAATTAAATTAGCTTAATATTTTTTTAATCTTTACAAAATAATATTTATTATATATTAATGGAATATACACCCGATATTCATTTGTTTATTAATATTATTATAGGCCAACAGAATGTTGCCATCAATGCCATCGTATTTATATAAATCAAATTAAAAAATAATTATTATTTGACACATTATTATGGCCTCTTTAATTCATTTATTTTAATTTATTATAATAAATACAGATATTTTAAATTAAAAGATGTAAAATATGATGACTATGCTAACCAATGTCTAAAATGTCATTCATTGGTTCATCGATATATGTATTTTATCGATTACGTTCAAACACTAGAAATATTGTATTGTGTATCAGTGTTTATAATAATGTAATAAAATCTTTGTGTGCGTTATGCGTCACTTGGTTGAACTAGTTTTCATACATTTGTATTTTATGTCAGGTCCAGTCTCTAATTCGTCCATGATGCAATGTATTCATCCCTTTTTACCGTCCCACTCTTGAGCACAGGCCTCCCTTCAGTACGACGGGATCAGGCCACTACGCTGGCAAAGTATAGGGCGGCGAATTGAGCATGTCTTTCGAAAACTTGATAGGTTCTTTTAGACATGGGGTGGGCGATGTTTTGCTTCACCGTAAGATAAGTGGTAATCATGTTGGAAATGATTCGCACATGAAAATATCAGAGGAACAAGACCCAGGATTAGAACCCGCTTCACTCGGTTTCTCAAGCGCTACCACTGAGCTACCACTGCGGGGGTATTCGATATTTATTTTATTCCCAATTATGTTTCATTTTTATTCCGAAGTGTAGCTTAATATTTTCGTAGCAAAGTCAAGAGATAGGGACTTTTTCACAAACAGATATCACTTCTAATGGAAATTTATAGCCGTGCCGAGACACAATTTCAAGTTATTGTCGCGGCAAGAAATATCTCTTACTTTACGTTTGTTCATTGTATTTTTAAATCAATTTTGTAGCACAAGAACTAATGCAGTTACTGTATTATATTATAGGTTATTATTTTTTATCTTCATGCCTTTTCTAACTTTCATTAAGAAAAAAAATATTCGTATAAAAAATGATTACCTCGTGCTATTCGGCCCTAAAATTTTAAATGTCCCACTGTTGGGCATGGGACTTCTTCCAATGCGAGGTCAAGTAATATGAGGTTGGTAAACTTCAAATGTATTTTGAAAGTTAGTTAGGTTTATTCAGGTTAGGCATGCAGACGTCCTAACGATGTTTTCCTTCACCGTAAGGTAAGTAATGTTGAAAATGATTCGCATGTGAAAAAAATATGAAGAGCTGCGAGATGCGTGGTTTGGTTGGAACCACTGCTATTTTTATTTTAGAATTACTTTTCACTAGCCTTCTATACATATAATCTTCTATACATATAATATCTAAGTCGAATCTCTACATTAAATGTTTTTTTTTTGGAAAATCTCATTGAACAGTCATTATTATCAATACAGAAGCCGAATCTATAGTTTTTAGAATTTTTGTCTGTCTGGGAACGCATCACGAGAAAACTACTGGACAGATTTTGATGAAACTTGTTCTGATGATAGCTGGGTATCCGGATCAATATATATAATGGGAAAATATCTCATCTCTAAAAAAACTATACTAACCGTTAAACATATCTAGAGACGAACCCGAGAGGAGGGAGGGTGAGTCAAACAGAGGATGAGATGAGGAGTAGAAGTCAAATAATATAAATTTAATAAAATTTCATGTTCTATTATTATAAATACGACAAACATTTTATTACAATTCATATAATTGTTTTAGTTACGTATGTTTATTTTAACGATTTGTCAACGAATTCAAAGCTTACGTTCTAAAATTTGACGACGCGTTTGGTTTAGTTTGTAGTGACCCTACTCGCTATGCCAGCGGTCGCGGGTTTGAGTCCTGCTGGGGGTGTTTGTGTGATGAGCACGAATGTTTGTACTCCAGTCATGGATGTTTATATTAATAATATATGTATGTATGTATTTAAAATTATATATATAGATAGTGCTGTTTGTTAATGTCCCAACAACATATTTATTATTTATTTATTATTTTTTATTTTAAAACACTAAAAACTCTTATCTCATATAAAACATATTCCAATATTAAGCTATTTATAACTTGTAAATATTTCATGTAAGCTCTATGCAGATATGGAATTCTGATCACACTTTCGAACAACTTGCGCAAAATATCTCTAGGTGGAAAAATATTCGTAGCTAGATCGATCTAAGCTTCACTGGTCACGTTCAAATATGTGAATAACATTTATCTCCGACTTTGCTGAGGGATGGTTAAAATTTATCGATGTTCGTCTAGCACTGTAGTTAGCTATCAATATGAGGTAGTGAGTTCGAAGCATGTTTTTTACATTTTTTTTAAAAGGTACATCGACTCAAAATTACTTTAAATTCTTCCCTTAGGAGTGTAATTTTTTGTTTACAATTTATAAAGAACCTTGGATGATTTGTTCATAAAAAAAAATTAAAGAACCAACTTTTCTCTAAAAACCAATATTTAGACCAACTTTTTAGTCGTCGTCGTCTTTTTAGACGTCTTTTTTGAATAATGACTATTTATATTATTTGGACTAATTTCATGAATGTTATATGAATTATCATATTATTAATATCAAATAAGCAATCTTCAAGCATTAAATATTAACTACGATATAGGATTCCAACTAAATCAAGATCGAAGTAAATTCTCTTGAGACGTACAAAAAGTTTGATGATGGAACAATAATCTTATAAGGAATCTTATATATTGTGAAAACAAATTACGAACTTATCTAACATAAATGAACTACAAACTATTTTACTAATAATATTATAAATGAAAATATTTTCACGGATTTTATTGCGGTTTTATTTTATACTAGCGATTCATCCTCGCTTTTCTTCGGGTTTATCCCTAAAGAAAAACAAATCTATCCCACGGGAACCGTACGTTTTTCCGGGATAGTAAGTATTCTATGTGCTATTCCAGACTGTAATCAATCTCTATGCCAAACATCCAGATCTGTTTAGCCCATTATATTCACATTTATATGCATATTTGTATTTATATATATTAGTATAGATGGTTTTGGTTCCCGATGTTTTGATTACTTTACAGCAAACATGGTCACGGGAGATACCCTCTCTCCAAATACTCGTAGATAGTTTCATTTAAAATATCAAATATTCGCTTAAACCTAAGAAAGTATTGAAAATATTTATTTAAAATGTTTGTTGCAGACGAATGTCTACCAATGGAGGATCATAATGTTCTTAATGGCTGGTATGACTACACTATGTAATCTCATCTTTGTAACTTTCATGTCTGCTGATGTTCAGCCTTGGAACGATTCGGAATATTCAAAAGCAGGTAATACTTTAATTTTTCACTTGTCATATATTATTTATGCACTAGATGGAAACAAAGTAAAAATTCTCCTATACTGTCCTTTACTTCTATAACAATGACAATATTGTTTATTCTATAAAAGTGCCAAATGAGCCTATGTAATGATGACAGCAAACTGTAGCCTATGTTCTTTTGTAGTATTAGAATCATTATATTTGAGAGTGCCCTTTTGCAATACACACTTTGCAATATTAGAAATATACCGCACCTGAAAGATTTAAATTGAAGGAGGGAGGAGAACCCAACAATGCGGGTATTGCTACTTTACCTTGATACTCAGGACCACTTTATGAGTCGAGGTTGTAATACTAACACTATTGAGGCCCCACAGATCTATTTTTCAGTTTAAATCTACTAAACGGACAGCTTTTTAACTTGATGACACGATGACACTTTTTAACTTGATTAGCACAGTTTGTAGCGACCCTACTTTCTGTGCCAGCGGTAGCGGATTTGAGTTCCGCTGGGGGCATTCATTTGCGTGATGAGCGCGAATGTTTATACTCCAGTTATATGGGTGTTTATTACATGTATGTATTTAAAGTTATATATGTGTAGTGTATCAACTATCTGGTATCCATAACACAAGCCTTGTAGCTTACCATGGAACTAGATGGTGATGTATGGTAATGTCCCAACATATTTATTTATTTATTTCTATCCTTCATTTTAGTTTATTGGCTTGTGGTGAGATTAATAATTTGTTACTATTATTACTTCTATTAGTTTATGATTTAGCTCTAATATAGCAGAGATCTTTCGTTCTTGTTAAATTTGTTATGATCTACCATTTACAGTTGTGACCTAAGGCAAAATGAATGTATCTTTAATAAGGATCATGGAAATTAACAACAGTACTGGGCGACCGCGATTTGTTCTGCGTTTTTTTCCGAGAAAATATTGCGTTTTTTCAAAAAATACATCTATATAGATAAATTTAAAAATCAAAATCTTACCTAAATACAAAATTTAATCCAAATCGTTAGATTTTACGAGGTACACGAAATAAATTTATATACAAAAATTGCTAAATTAATATTTTATAATCTTCTATGTAAATTCTCCAGACTCTGATTATCGTTATCATTCTATTTTATTTAATTAAATATAACAAAATTATAGTTAAATATTTATATAAATATACAATTTAAATAATGTTAAAAAGCAAAGTAAGAATTATATAAGTACAAATATCTGTAATGTGACATCAAAAACGTTACATTACTTTTACGTCATCATCTCATGATGACACTTTGATTTCTCTATCTAATTATAAAGAAACGTGACTAAGTTGTTATCAAAAATAAATTAATCACTGTAAAATAATATATTACATGGAAATATTATATATTCATCATTCATATATGTACATCTTGTCGCACTTTCTGTTATCTTCATAATTCTGTTTCGCAGAAAGGCCTTGCTAATATTAGCATTAATTGATTAGAGAAATACTATTTTCCAACATAAAATAGCAGTCTCCATATTGGTGCATTTCGTTTAGCGATTGGTAGCGCCAAAGGTCAAACTAATTTCATTTTTATGGTTCCGTACCCAAAGAGTGCCAATGGAACAATATCACTAAGCCTCCGCTGTCAGAGAGTTGAACTGTAATAAGTAGAGAGTTGAAATTTTTACAGAGTATATATTTCTTTTATCGCTATAACAAAATTTAAAAAAAAATACAAAAACATTTTTTTAACATTCGTAATCGATCATCGAAGTTAATATACTGCATACGTAGAGTCAACATGTTCATGTACGATGGTTCAGAAAAAAACCCTTCGTGTTTTATTATTTGACTTGCACCCGACCGATTTTAACCCCATTTACTTCTATTTATCTCTTAAATTTTAGTTAAGATTGGTGACGTTCCATTGGGTTTTAGTGGGTAGTACTGGCTTCTCTAACCGGTGAGTCCCACATAACCACCTGTATGTATGCAGGTGAAATACGTAAATGCATTTCCCAACTTCGAAAATAAGTTGTTACAAGTATACATATGCCTCGCCACGCCATACCTATACTCATTAAACATATACCCTAATGTTCAAGAGCACTCAGGGAAACTGCAATAATTTTAAAAATACACTATACTTATATTGTGTCTTCTTTCAGAACCTGAAGAATTGAAGTTAAAGCCTGAGGAGAAAAGTGAAAAAGGCGACATTTTGAAGGAATAGATTTGTAGTAATAAATTTTAACTTATTGTTTTGTTTTATTATTAATTTGATAAAATCCTTTTAATACTCGTCATGATTAAAGTAACATTTAGCTAACAGCATTGCGTGTATTGCATGGTTTTTATGGTATAGTAGTAGACTGGAATTTTTCATTTCAATCGGTTGAGCAAATTATATTAAATCATAAACTGATGACTGTTTTAACGTCACATTGCTGGGCACGGGCTTCTCTCGAATACGAGGGAGATCAGGCCATAGTCCACCATGCTTGCCAAGTGCGGGGCGTATTTTACATGTCATTCAAAATTGTCAAGTTCTTTTAGATATGCAGATTTCCTCACAATGTTTCCTTCATTCGTCGTAAGGCGAGTGGTAATCATGTTGAAATTGATTCGCAAATGGAGATATCAGAGATGGGAAACTCGGGATTTGAACCCGCTTCACTCGGTTTCCCAAGCGAACACATTACCACTGGACTACCACTGCTTTTACAATATTTAGGTTTTAAGCAAAAAAAAATATAGGACAAAACTTCGTATCATCCACATTACCTGCTTGGCTTGGCTTGAAAAAGCTATTTCTATTACAAAAGATATTTAAAATCATTTATTTCGTAAAATAAAATAGCGGGATATATTTTTATGTTGATTGATTTATTTTCAAGGTTGTAAAGTAAAAGTACAGACTGAACTCATTAAATTTTCAAGATCCTCAAACGCCCACGAGCTGTTTCTGTCTGCGCAATTTTGGAGATTACTCTTTAGCTTTTAGTACCTGTTTTTATCTTAAAAGTTATAAAATTCTTTTATTTGATTTATGTATTACATTATTAATAACATTTAATAGAATTCTAACTGAGTCCAGTCTGTACATTAAATATTTTTTGAAAAATCTTATTGAAATAGTCATTATTATCGATACAGAGGCCTTTCTTAAGGAGATTCCTTTCAATTGTTTATCTGCCTGTCTGTTTGTCTGTCTGGGAACGCATCACGAGAAAACCACTGGACAGATTTTCATGAAATTTGGTATGATGATAGCTGGGTCAATATAAAGGATACTATTTTCTGCGGTAAAATATCTCATGTCTGAGTGATCTCTACTAAACGTAACTAGGGACGAACCCAAGCGGAGCGAGGGTGAGTCGCTAGTTAATAAAATAGTTTCTTAAAAACATCTCAAATTCAAATAAAACTTATTCAAATGTTTTTATTAAATAAACAAAATACATTACGATAACATTTATATCATTATGGTAAGAGTTTTCCGGTTCATTTTACGTCTCAGACCTAGACATAAATCATAAATATGAAGAAAAATATGGGGATTATGGAGCGTTGGCCATTTAAAAACACTCAGAAAATGATTTTTTCTGAAAAAAAATTGTCTTAAAGCTAATTTGTTTGTGCATAGTACATAAAATATGTATTATATAATCATTTATATGGCCTTCAATAAAAAAATCTATTTTTTTGGGTGATTAACTCACATTTCCGCAGTTCCTCAGTCAATAAAAAATATCATACTTCATAGTAATTATTTGCATATACTGATAACGGTATTACATCTAAAACAGATATAGAGTATTTCAATATAATAACTTATTTGTTTGAGATAGTAGAGACGATTCAGTCAAAAGTGTCTTCATTGCATCATTTGATAGATAGCTAATTATGAAAGTTGACGAAAGACATTATGATGGAACGAGTTTGCAGATTAAAGTTTCGGACACCAAAAGTAGCTTCAAAGGTAAGTAAACGTAACTTGGTTGATATTATTTATCTTCTGTAGTTGTAAATGTCTAAGCACTCAAACTAGATAATTTTAAATGTGAAAGTTAATGGAAAATACCGTGCACTTTGCCATACGTTTGGCTAAAAATGTCTTGTGGACGCGAGATTGGCTAAGCGGGTATTGTCGTTTTAAAGGTCCTAAAGGCACAATTTTGCCTAAAAAGCAAAAGGTTACTTTTTTTTATATAAATCTATGTAAATAACGTTTCTAAAACTTAGTTTCAGGTTGGGGTTACAGACATCAACAATGCCTCATATTATTCTTATGTCTAACAACGGCCTACAGTATGAGATCTTGCATGGGGGTGGCTTTAGTTGCTATGGTGGATAATGAATCTGAATACTCGGTCTCAAATAGTGCAACTCCTTTTAGTTCTAATAGTTCAAATGTTTCAACTATAATGAATCGGACGATAACCGAAAATAAGGGATTTCTTCATTCCTTACTATTTATTCCACCTGTAAGTATTTTACTTATATCTTACTTTGTACCGTAGTTTGATATGGATGCTGGCACTAATGAAATTTTATTATATTTTAACATTGAACGATAACAATAAAGACAGAGCAGTTTCCAGAACTAAAGATATACTTAAATAGAAGTAAAATAATATAAAATTCATTTTTTTTAATCATTTTCCAAGTAATAAATACCAATCAACTTCAACAATAAAGAAACACAACCTGTATTATTTATCTCATCAATTTTTTTATACTAAGAATATGAATAGTTGACATTTACTAATTTTTCCAGTATCCAGCATTCAAATGGACCAAAAAGGTCCAAGATTCAATTATATCATCTTTCTTCCTCGGTTATATGCTCCTACAAATTCCTGCTGGTCAGTTGGCGCATTTCTTCGGAGCTCGGTATTTACTAACTGGAGCTCTTTTAATTAATTGTGTGGTATCATTCTGTTTACCGTGGGCAGCTTTATACGTAAGTAAAGTGAAAATTAGTTACTTAGAAACTTAGGTTTAAATTTTCAGTGGATTAATAATATTACATAAAGAATGTTACGGATTTAACATTTTTTATTAGATTATATCGTGTAGGAAGTTTATAAAAAATATTATATAAAAGGGACTGAATATACATACGTCAGCATAATGACTAACAGAGCTGTGTTTAATATCGATGTAGATTTTCTTAACGCGGTTGGGAACGTTAATATTTCTTACTAATTACCTTTTGTTCAACACTTTTAGGGAGGATGGATAGTGACATCAATATGCAGAATAATTCAAGGTTTAAGCCAAGCGTGTATTGTGCCGGGTATGCACACTATGTTCGGCAAATGGACAACGTTAGAGGAAAGAGGAAGATTAGCCGGTTTAGCCTATGGTGGTTTGTATGCATATTTTTTTTTGAATCATTTTATTGTTTTTTTTTTATAAAATCATGTAATATCCCCAAACTAACCTACGAGAAAAAAAACGTGTGTGTGTACTTATGTATGCACGTAAGAAGTTATACTTCTTTGGCGGAACAGAACAAAAATAGCTAAAGATTTCATCCCATACGTCACAACTCTCTATTTGTTAAGAAAAGAAAGCAGTTAACTTCATCATGTCGCTTTTTAGCTGTCGTTGTGCGCGCGCATCATAAAAATTTTACTCTTATATTTTTTTCCAAGCATGCCAAAAGAAGTATAACTTCAAAAATCAAAATCGTGGATTTTAGGTTGCTTCCTAGACTAGACAAACGTTATACTTTTCATATATACGCACAGAATACAATATTTGGATCTAGGAGAATATAGAACTATTGGAGATATGTGAAGCAGTAATAATATACGTACAGACAATAAATGGGATCAGAAACGACGGCTGAATGAGCTCGTACTATATATCAGTACACAGTACAAGCTTAGGCCAAAAATATAATGGAATAATACAAGTATTAGACATAGTCATAAAATTGAAGTGAAATGAGTTGATTTTTTTTAAATATTAGAATACTTTAAACTATACAATTACATTATTAAATCAATAAGGATCTCGTAGACTCCCCTCCCCCCGTACGGGTACTCCCGTAGATCATACTTGTTTTGCTATCTCTTCTGCCTTGTTTTGCTGGAATTTGAGTTAAACAGAGATAGATTCCTAGTAAAAAGTTAATATTGGCAACACTACTTACAATGTCATTCTTTATTTGAAAGAGTAAATAAATTAGCTCGTTGGTTATGGTTGTTTGATCAACATTCTATGTCATTGATATGTCTTCATAGAAATTGCAAATATTTATCATTTTCATAGAAATTATAGCAAATATTTATATATTTTTAAAATGTTCAAGCATCAAACGCGTACATTTTTAAAGCAATCAATGGAATTTTATTTATAAAAAATAAACATTTTCAAGCAGTAAATTGTATTTTAATCATTAGAACAGTACAATTTAAAGTGTTTTTTATTACTATTTTAGGCCAAGCACTCGGGACAGTATTAGGCTTACCTATAGCTGGTTTCATAGCATCATCGCCACTTGGTTGGCCAGGAATCTTTCGTTTTTATGCTATCTTGTCTGGTATATTTGGTGCTGTGATGTGGACACTTGGCGCTGATAGTCCCGCGCAGCATCCTAAGATATCTGCCGCTGAAAGATATTATATTGAAGACAGTATAGGCCACGTTGGACACCATAATAAGGTTATTACCATAATATCTCAATAAAAGTCTTCCGTATTTGAACACTTACCTTTATTGGATAGCTCAAATTATTCAGAATTTTGTCTTTATTTTTTCATAACTCTCATTATTTCATTCTTAATCATTCTAGATCTGAATAATTTAATCAATAAATTTAGCCGTGTAACGCCTGGCTTGGAATAGGGCTACCCCATCTTCTCCTATAGGTGTCGTAGAAGATGACTAAAGGATCTAGAGACATCGCACCATGAGTCCCTTGCTCGATGGTGGGCGAACAACAGCATTCCCAAAGAGGGTTGACGTCAGGCAGGTGGCCAGTCGGTAAATATTTTTGCCAAAACCAATAAGAAGTATGGACGAACTACGCTGAGCCCAAATAATTTGGGAAATGGGTAGGGAGATGATGAATTTAATCAATAAAATTACTATAGTATGTAACTTAACTTACTTTCAGAAGAAACTTAAAGTCCCTTGGGGAGCTATCTTAAGAAGTCGTGGAATGTATGCCATTATTTTTGCCCACATTGGTAGTGCTTGGGGTCAATTAACCTTATATTCGGAAGTGCCAGCATTTATGGATAAAGTTATGGGAGTTAATATAAAGGCGGTAAGATTCTAAATATTCAAAAAGGTTATTACCATAATATCTCAATAAAAGTCTTCAGTAAATACTATCAACCCTTAAACGTCGAAAATATCTTATTATTATAGTTTTTATTTATGCTCTTACAGAATGGACTTTTATCTGCGCTCCCTTTTCTTGTCATGTGGCTAACAAACTTCTTCTTCAGCTGGTTCACTGATATGCTGATAGTAAAAAAGTATCTGACTGTACGGCATACGAGGAAACTGGCAAATTCTATAGGTATGTGTAATTTGAAGCTATTTAGGCTATATAATTAATACCATCACAAAAGTCTTTGAAGGTTTAAGTCTCTAACTTGTACCTTATAGAGAACCTTTGGGGGCAAGTTGAAACGAGTTGCTTTCGAAGTTTGGGAATGTTGCAGCGGGATGAAAACATGCAATAACATGTGTTAGATATTAAATGAGTTGGTGTATATTAGTAATGCAATACATGTCCTATATTTTTTGCATTCTAAAAAGTGACAAATATTTTTGCATCACGTTACTAGTTAGACAAATTTTCTATTCCTTTGATGTCATACATCTGTGCTACAGCTTATGTATGCCTTCCACAAATGTATTTTGTCATCTTAAAATAGAAATTAATGAATGAATCACGTAATGTAAGTGCTTGGTAATACATTTATGCATATGGCAGTACTTTAATAATGGGTAATCGATACTCATGTATCAGATGTTAATAAGGTTTAGTTGTTTGCGATCTCTGTTTTAAGTACTTCAATACAAAATGGTAATCACGTTCAATGAAATTAAAATATGCAACCGAGCAGCATAGCAGACCGAAACCAGTAAAAGTAAATAAAAGTAAATTAAATAAATAAAAGGTATTTAACTATCAGTTAGTTTATCGCTTAAAGCTGTACTCTTGTAATATTTGTCTACATGAAGTATTATTAAAAATTTTACAACCTTATTTCAATTTATACCCTGCTTTTAGCAAAAAGGAATTACTATAAATTTTATTTGCGAAATGTGATAAATCATTTTGTAGTTTGCTTGCACCAAAAGTGTAGAGAATATATTATAGTAAAAAAGTAATAAAATGAAAGCAGAATATTGAAAACTCCATTTATTTCAAATCAACATTTTTAATTCAGTATTGAATTTATGCAGTGGCTCACTGAACTTTATTTCAACTCAATTTCACAAATTTTATTGGTCATCTAATTAGCTAATTAATATTTAAATATATTAACACACTTAAAATATAGTGAAAATGAATCAGACGAACAGCGTGTCCTTTTTAATACACCACTGTTGGGTAATGACCTTCCTTCAATATGAAGGGGGTCAAGCTTTTATCCACCACGCTGACCAAGTGTGGGTTGGCGGGCTTCACATGTCTTTCGAAAACTTGCTAAGTTCTCTCAAACATGCAGGTTTCCTCATGATGTTTTCTTTCACCGTATGACAAATGCTAACCATTTTGAAAATTATTCACTTATGAAAATACCAGAGGTTCGAGACCCAGCATTTGAAATTGCTTTACTTAGTTTCCCAAGGAAGGGCGTTACCATTGAGAAACCACTGCCCAACATTTCATACGATCTATAGTCTACTAAAATTATAGTAGTCATACCGTATGGAATAATTTTCATCAAAGATTCCTTACTATATTTATTTTCAGGTGCTATCTCAGCCGCTGCAGGTTTGATCGCATTAGCGTATGCACCAAAGAATATTTACGTAGTTGAAACCATATTAATAATTATTTGCGCTATGAAAGTTTCAACACAAGTCGGATTTCAAGTAAGTAAGATTAAATAAAGGAAGTCATAATGGTACAAACGAAAAGCGTATGTGGACTATATTTGGTTTTCTATACTCTTTCATATTTATATATCTTAGATATTATCTTCTAGAATATTTCTGGTAGTTCATGTATTTGGCACTTATTTCTTTCTTTTAACGTCCCATTGCCTTCCTTCAAGACGAGGGGGAGGAGTAATTCATACTAAATCCCAATGTTTGTTTTAGGTAAATCATATCGACATCTCCAGTAACTTTTCGGGCACTATGATGAGTATCAGCAACTTTGCATCAAATTTATTTGGCACTCTTGCTCCTTTAGTGGCTGGTATGATATTAACTGATGTGGTAAGTTACCTTTACTGTATGATCTGATTATGTCTAGTGGGCTAAAAATATGTTAAATACATATATATAACATAATCTGTTATCTATATTACATTAATAAAATATTTAAATTCATTCACTGAGTAAAAAAATGTGCAGCCAAATAGTGAGATTATAATGATTCCTTATGTAAAAAAGATGAAGGAGGAAAAGACTGAGGATAGATTTTTAAAAATCCATTGGATTAGTATTTTCAAAGGATATTCCCTCGAACTTAAAGCTTGTTCTTCGTGGACAATATATTTAAATAAATATTTTTTTATGATTATTTTATGAGCAATATTTGGTACTAACGCCTCACCCTCGCTTCGCTCGGGTTTATTCCTACTCCCTAGGTTGATTCCCCAAACTTTCAACCCCTTAAGGGAAGATTTCCGGGACAAAAAACTATCCTATGTCCTTCCCAGGGTCTCAAACTATCTTCTTACCAAATTTCATCTAAATCGGTTCCCTACAACGTCACAAACTCACAAACTCACAATTCTCAAACTGACAAACATTTATAATATAAGTAATTTAAGCAAAAGTAATAAATTATATTACTTTTGCTTAAATTAAGGCTAGCACGATCTAATTCAGTACAGCGCCATCTGTTGCAATGAATTTCACTGTATAAGCTAAATATTTTAATGAGGTTTATTTATAGTACTGTATATAGTATTTTATTTATTTATATAAACTAAAATCCACAGCACATACAAAAATTGAAAGTAAATAAGAAAAAAAAAGTTCTTATATAAGTCAATTTTGTATTTACATTATTTATGCAATTTATGTACATAGGTAGACTAAGTTTGCATATTATATCAAAGCAAAGAAATAAATTACAAAAAAAAACAACAAAACAGATAAAAAAACAGCTTATTAGGGATACAGCCATTCATTACTCTATATTTTATGATTTATGTTGTGTGTGTATGCGGGTGCGTGCTAGTGTGTATGTGTGCGTGTATGCGTGCGTGCGTGTGCGTGTGTGTGTGTATGTATGCGTGCGTGTAATTTTATTTATATTGATGATTAAACATGTAACTTCTGCTTCTGCTAAATCTAATTTCAAATTTCAGACTGACAAATATTTATGGCGTAAAGTATTTTTCGTGTCGGCTGGACTGTATCTATTTACTAATACAGTTTACGTCATATTCGGCACGGCGGAGACCGCTGAGTGGGACAACCCGCCTGAAGACGAAACAGATAATCTTAAAGAAATGGAGTCAATGCTTAAAGAGAAACGCGATATGGAAAAGATTAATGGAGGGACAAAATAGATTAATATTTGACTGACGACACATTTGGCTCAGTGTGTAGTGATCCTCCTTGCTGTGCCAGCGGTCGTGGGTTCGAGTCCTGCTGGGGGCATACATTGTGTGATGAGGACGAATGTTTGTACTCCAGTCATGGGTGTTTTTATTTTTAATATGTATGTATTTAAAGTTTATATATGTGTAGTGTATCAACTATCTGGTATCCATAACACAAGCCTCGTAGCTTACCATGGAACTAGATGGTGCTGTGTTTTAATGTCCCAACATATTTGAGTTGGAAACGCGTTATGTGATACTATAGATTAGTTTTTATTTTAATTTTTGATGTATTTTGTAAAATAAAATATATTATTTGCACTAGTACAAATTCACTGCCTAGAATAAGTAATTCTTTTTAACCTATTTTTTTGTATATTTGCAATATTTCTTATATTTCGCAGTCTGACTTTAAAATATGATAGGTATAAGGAAGAAAAAAAAGGAATGTTATTTTTACTTTGTAGTAGATATTTTAAATTTAACTTAAAAAAAATATTTTTTTCAATTTAACTTAAAAAATTAAATTGATATTATTTTTTTGTTAAAATAATAAATATTATAATATAATATTTTGGGCTTTTTATTTGAACCTAGCTTTAGCTATTCTTTAGAATAGTATCGTCTTTCATACAACCATACATGTAGGTAATTGAAATGATAAAATATTTAATTAATTAAAGCGTTCGGTATGAAAACACCTTTACATCATGGTTTTAACTCTGTGTATTTAAAGGGCTTCGTCCAGTCGTGTGTTTACGACGATCATTATAGATAACTCCAATTTACTCAACTAATTCTATATTTTATACAAGCTAACTTTCTACAAACGACATCGCTAATAGAAAACTAAAAAAGACAGAAATGATATATTATCATGACTATTTGGCGCTTAAATATGTCATTTCCGTATAATAATACTTTCTCAGAATAATAGTTTCTTATGTAATTTTTTTGCGGATAGATAGATAGATAGATGCTTTATTGTACACCACAAATAAATATACAAAAAGAAGATATAAACAATAGATGGTGCACAGCAGGCGGCCTTATCGCTATAAGCGATATCTTCCAGGCAACCTTAGGGCGTAGGAGAAATTATATGAAATGGTAGGCGGTGTACTTACTACACACAATTGCATATCCTAAATACAGATATACATAAATACATACATACATACATATATACATACATGCATTCATACACACACATACATACATACATAATACATACATACATTACATACATACATAAATGCATATATACAATCCGGATATATATTTTTTTTTATTTTTTGTTCCCAACCTTTTAAATGCTGTACAGCAAAATTTTAATAATCTGTATAGCTATTATGGAATGTCATATTGTGTAAACATTAGTTAAACACTCAACTCTTAAATAAAACGCCTGAAATATATCGCTTAGCAAAGTACCGCTCAGTTGTTTTGCGCTCATACATCACTGGCTAATGGAATTCAAGCGTCAGTAAATATTATTCAGAATACTAGATCAATATCTACACGATTGGATTTTAGGTACCTATTACATTTGAAATGTCCGCTGGAAATTAAACTTTGAAATTGAAATCAACATAATATATTTGTATATTATCTATACATATAATAAAATTGTAACTGAACCGTTTGTTACTTAACTATTTTTTTGAAAAACCTTATTTAAATAGTTGTTATTATTGAATAACAAACATAAAAAAAACATACAGTCGAATTGAGAACCTCCTCCTTTTTGAAGTCGGTTGAAAAGAGGGCGAATCTATAGTTTAATAAAAATGACGTTTCAAATGTTTTACGTCAATCTTGGTCACGGGAGAGACGGGACATAGTCTCATTCCTACGTATGTGAAAATATCTTCCAAAAAGAATATACGGACTCTTTCCCGTGACCATGATCGCTGGAAAGCATTCGAAACCTCGGGAACCAATAATAAAAAATAAATATCCAAAAAATCCGAAAAGATACTTTTATTTAAAATGTCAAATATTCGCGTAAAGAAAATATCACTATTATAAATGCAAAAGTTTGTATGTGTTACCTTTACGCTGAAATGGCTGTATGGACTTGGTAGTTAGTATTTTTACATCTAGCTTAAACATTAGCTAGTATTCATTTCATTTGCCAACGTTTACCATTTGCAAAAGATGCCTACAAATACACGCGCGGTAGTACAATAAATTGTCAGTAATTTAAGGCAAAATCCAAGCTAATTTGCTTTGAAATTTAAACACATCCCACAAAAGGTATAAAGCAGTAACCAATTAAAAAGTTCACGGCCGAAACGGTGTACAAAATCGAAATTATCCCATTCGCTCTCGCAGAAAATTTTATTACATAAAACTTTGAAGACACTTAAAAAGTCTAATAAAAAAAAACTTTAGACATCAAAAAATTACCTCAAAGATTCTATATCTTAAATTAACGATAAGGTAAGGTTATTAAATTAAAAAAAATCCTTCTTGCCTAATAAATTAAAATGAAAATAAATTTTTTCTTGCCAATAACGCCTTAGCTTCTTAATACTTTTAAAGAACTTATGTGTTTGTTCGTTAGTTTCTGACGCTGAATGAACTAAACGGATGTACCAGTAGATGCATTTTAGTACACAGATAGACCTTCTTTAACATTGAGAAATGCATTTACGCATACCACTTGTATACAACAGGTGTGATATGCGTAAACATATACAGACTCAGTCTCTATATGTTGTCTTTCGTTGGGTTTTCGATTTTCGATGTTGGGTTCCGGTGGTACTAGCGTAAGCCAGTACAATCCACTAAACCCAACGGAAACTATCTCGTCTCAATGAATTAAAGACGCCCCGATAGCAAATCTCCTTCCGTCCTTTACTAAAACCAGGCATTCCCAGACGCTAGTGGGTCCTCCCACTACGACTTCTATATTTAGAAATAATTTTCACCAAAAAGCAGCACTATTTTTTTGATCAATACATACATATTGTATTAAATATACAAAAAGTCGATGTTTTTGAATCAAGTCGCAAAAGGCAGCTAAACAAGCGAAGATATGTTACCTACTGATAGAGTTACAAACTTGTAGGGTCTTACTCATTTGCTCTTTGAGAAATTGAATCCTTTTAAGGAAGATTTTAAAGGAGTTTTTACTTTTTTACCTCTACCACGTGATCATCAACAAGATTAATGGATACGTGAAAATGTTAGTAAAATATAGTACAATATATTGTTTCCAACAATGGAATTTCATTAAAGGGTTGAAAAATCTCGGAAATTTTGCTGCTTTTATAACAAAGCTACCTTTTTAGAGCATGATGAAATGTAATTTTGTTGAGACTTGAGGTTTTTAGGGCAAATTATTACAATGAATATTTTTAAAATAAATTATATGGAGTACTGGTTAAGTATCGAGTATAAAATAGCATTACTTTCTTTTATCTATCTTTATTCCTCTATAGTAGTCAAGGAGTAAGGTTTCATTAAAATCGGACCAGACCAGAAAGACCGTGTCCCGGATAGTACGGGTTCTGAGCCCTGACGAGTCCCGAAGTAGCTCAGATATCATTGCATAGTGCGTAGCCTACCTATAGAATATATCGTTCTTATGAGCGTATTTGTTGATCATACGTTGTTAACAAGAAATTCAACTACGTCACAATAGGATGGCAGAAACCAATTTCATTTGTAAAAATATTATTATTATATAGTATTTCTTAAAAGAAGGATTCAATCTGGACATGTAAATAAAACATGGATATGGAAATGGAAAAATATAGACGGAAAAGACTCAACAAAATCTGCGAAAATGGGGCTCGAACCGTAGGCTGTTGCGCTCACATAGCAACTATTATTTGGTGTTTAGGATATGCAAAGCATCTGACACAGCCAATAAAACCTACATTAACAGAAATGGGTGACACATTTATAAGATTTGACGATTATGTTACCAGTGTTGGGTTGCCTATTATCATACGTCCACTTCGAATCACAATGAAACTATTTATTTATAAGTTAGTATGCGATTCATTAATGAACGCACCATGACCCAAATCTTACGGTTTTTTGTGGGTATAGACCGGAATACAGACTGAGGTTATATTTAACTAACGACATACCCTCGCTTCGCTCGGGTTCATCCCTAGGTTGATTCGCCATAAAAATTTCATCTCCATTTTCACTCACTTAAGGGATGATTTCCGGGATAAAAAGTATACTCGTACTATGTCATTCCCAGGGTCTCAAACTGTCTTCTTACCAAATTTCACCTAAATCGGTTCAGTAGATACAGAGATTACCCCCTACATCCTCATAAACACACAAACTTCATCTCTTTATAATATTAGTATAGATATAGTAAGTAAAATAAATATAACAAGAAATTCTCTTAAATGGTGGTACGAACATAATGTTATGGAAATAGCCAAACTTAAGTTTTATACGGAATAGCTATATTGAAATCACAGGCGATCTTTATAAAAATCTTTAAAAATTTATAAGTTTAATTACTATTAGATACACAATAAATACTCAAGATTTAAAAAGAACAAACGTCCTTAATTTGTTTATTTATTTACACTTTACCTTAAGCTTATTTAGCTGACCTGATACAATATCCCGAATAATATACGTTTTTTTTTAATTAATAAAAAAATAAAAAAAGCATTTTTCTCGAATTCACAATTTTTCCGATGATTTGAAGATTTTTTCTAAAAAATTTTTTTAAACTATTACAAACATTTAAAAATACCTAACCCGGCCCAAACCTTCTCAAATGAAGTGTGTACTAGAACAAACAAAAAATATAATTTCAGTTTTATTTGTTTAATTTAATAGCAATTTTTCTTGTCTTACAGTGAAGGAAAATGTGAGGAAACCTGCATGTTTGAGAGAACCTAGCAAGTTTTCGAAAGACATGTGAAGTCCGCCAACCCGCAATATGTTAGCTTGGTCGAATATGGCCTGATCCCCCTTGT